GGGGGGGCGGGGGCGGGGGGGCCCCCGCTGCTGCTGCTGCTGCTCGCGTGGCGGCCGCCGCAGCTCACAGACTCGCAGGGCTCCCCCGCTGCTTCGGGGGGGGCCCCCGGGGGGGCCCCTGCAGCAGCAGCTGCTGCTGCTGCTGCTGCGCCTGCTGCTGCTGCTGCTGGCTCCGACATCTCCGCAGAAGCTCCCTAAACCCTAAACCATAAACCCTAAACCCTAAAGGCTGCAGGCCCTGGCCATCGACGCAGCTCTCCCGGGCCTGCAGCAGTCGCGCTCCAACCCCAACCTCCAAACCCTAAACCCTAAACCCTAAACCCTAAACCCTAAGGCTGCAGCTTCGGGCCACAAACCACAGCTCCTGAGACAACAGCAGCTGCTTCTCCAAAAGAGTCCACAGAGGACACCCAGCGGTAGTGCTGCTGCTGCTGCTGCTGCTGCTGCGGTGTTGGCGCGGCTTGCTGCCGAGCGACGGGCCTTCTTCCTGCTGCTGCTGCTGCTGCAAGTGAGTTAGAACTGCTTTTGCTGCTGCTTTTGCTGCTGCTGCAGCTCTCTGTGGGGCCGCTGCGGGCGCTGCGCTGCAGTGCTGGCGAGCAGCAGCAGCGCGGGCAGTGGCGGTTCGAGTGTACGTACACCTCAGGCTGCGCAGCGCAGCAGCAGCAGCAGCAGCAGCAAACTCTTTGGACTACAAATTCACTTTTCTTCACTGACACCCCTCAAGCAGCAGCAGGGCCCCAAGCGCTGCGCAGCAGTTTGCTGCAGCCCCTGGTCGGCGGAGCAGACAGCGCATGCAGCAGCAGCAGCAGCAGCAGCAGCAGCAGCAGCAGCAGAAACACCTACGCTTTGTGTCCAGCAACTTGCTACCAGGGGTCACCTGATTGCTGCAGCAGCAGCAGCAGCAGCTGCTGCTGCTACTGCTGCGAATGAGCTGCGGAGAGGGGCCCCCGCGCTGCTGCGGTGTTCGCACACGTACACTGCAGCGCGCAGCAGCAGCGCCACACCGAAGCAGCAGCAGCAGCAGCAGCAGCAGCAGCTAATTTTGCTGCTCTTCGCCCCTCTGACTAGCCAGCTGCTGCAGCTTGCCTGCACTGCAGCAGCAGCAGCCTGGCCCAGCATGTAGGGCTCGAGCCTGCAGCTAGCTAGGCCCATCCTTGGGCTAGCTTGGCTATCTGGGGCTGCAGCTTCAGCTAGCTACTGCTGCTGCTGTGGCTAGCTGCTGCTGCTGCTGCTGTGGCTAGCTGCTGCTGCTGCTGCTGCTGCTGTGACTAGCTGCTGCTGCTGCTGTGGCTAGCGAGGGCCAAAGTCCTGGCTAGCTGGGCAGCAGCAGCCTGTGCCCTAGTGCGTTATGTAGCGCCCAAATTCATCTGCTTCATGCGGCGCCTCTGCTGCTGCTGCTGCTGCTGCTGCTGCTGCTGCTGCTGCTGCTGCTGTTGCTGCTGCAGCTGCTTTTCGCTGCTGTATCTTTTCCGTCTGGCTCTCTCGGCTTTTAAATGATAAATAACTAAATAAATAAATAAATAATAAACAAATAAATGGATTAACAATTAAATGAAATAAACTCAAAAGCCAGAAGACACAAGTGAGCTCGCGCAGCTCCCAGGTGTACGTACACTCCAGCCAGCCCACACACAGATCAGCACGCACCGCCTGCAGCAGCAGCAGCAGCAACTGCAGCAGCAAAAGCAGCAGCAGCAAAAGCAGCAGCAGCAAAAGCAGCAGCAAAAGCAGCAGCGGCAACATCAGTAGCTGCAGCAGGGGCCTGTGCCAGAGTGCTGTCTTTGGCGCCATTGCGCTGCCCCTGAACACTCTAGCCACTAGCAGCAGCTTCTGCAGCAGCAGCAGCAGCACAAACAGCTGCTGCAGCAGCAGCAGCAGCTGCTGCTGCAGCAGCAGCAGCAGCTGCTGCAGCAGCAGCAGCTGCTGCTGCCCTTGTAAGCTTGCTGCGGCTGCTGCGAAGCCGCAGCAGGAGCACCCGCCGCAACCTGTGCAGGGGAGGCTTCACCTGTGCCTGCTGCTGCCGCCGCTGCTGCTGCTGCTGCTGCTGCTGCTGCTGCTGCTGCTGCTGCTGTAGGCGTTGAAGATGTCTGCCCAGCGCCTTTGGACGTGGACGGGAAGCACTTCTGCTGTTTCTTCGACTTCTTTCAAAAAGGCCTCGAGTGCTGCTGCTGCTTTTCTTCTTTCGAGAAAAGTTGCTGCTGTTGCTGCTGCTGCTCTCCACTCCCGCTGCAGCAAACCCCAGCTGCTGTCCACCCAAGCAGCAGCAGCATCGCTGCAGCGCTCCGTGGCTTGCAGCTGCAGCAGACACAGCCGGCCCCCCACTTCGATCTCCGCCACCAGAATGGGGCACTCGCTGCTGCTGCTGCTGCTGCTGCTGCTGCTGCTGCTGCTGCTGCTGCTGCGGGGCGACAGCGCGCCGGGAGAGCACGCAGCGCCCTCGTCTCCGGCACCCGCGGACGCAGCAGCAGCAGCAGCAGCAGCAGCAGCAGCAGCACTTGCTGCTGCTGCTGCTGCTGCTGCTGAGGGCGACGCCGCTGAGGGCGAGGAGGGGGCTGACAAGCGAGGTGCTGCTGCAGCAGCTGCAGCAGACGGAGTGCGCACTATACGCGCCCCTCGGCTGCTGCTACTATTGCTGCTGCTGCTGCTGCTGCTGCTGCTGCTGCTGCTGCTGCTGCTCGGGCTTGAGGGACCGGAAGAGGCGATTGCTGCCGGCTGCCCACCTGCAGCAACTTTTCCACGGCTGTTGCTGCTGCTGCTCTTGCTGCTGCTGCTGATGTCCTTGCTGCTGCTGCTGCTGCTGCTGCTGCATTTTTCAGGGCTTGATTCCACATCAGAGCAAATCCGAAATATCTGAGTGGCGGGCACTACGGCTGCACCCTGCTGCTGCTGCTGCTGCTGCAGCAACTGCTGTTGCTGCTGCTGCAGCAGCAACTGCTGCTGCGGCAATTGCTGCAGCCGATGCTGATGCTGTTGTTGCTTCATAGCTGCTGCAAACTTTCCGTTGCTCACTTTTGCTGCTTCTGCTGGTGGCCCTGCTGCTGCTGCTGCTGCTGCTGCTGCTTTTTCCGCTGCTGCTGCTGCTTCTTCTGCAGCAGCAGCAGCAGGCACAGGATCGCTAAAGAGCCGATGAAGCCGCGCCATGAGAGTCCCTCTTTGCTGCTGCTGCGCCGCGCTGCGAGCAGCAGCAGCACTGCACGGCTGCTGCAGCACTTGGGGCCGCTGCATTAGCTGCTGCTGCTGCAGCTGCCGCTGCTGCTGCAGCTGGCGTTGCTGCTGCAGCTGCTGCTCCTGCAGCATCTGCTGCTCTTGCAGCACCTGTTGCGGCTGCGGCAGCTGCGGCTGGCGTTGCTGCGGCGGCTGCTGCTGCTGCTCCTCCTGCTGCTGCTGCTCCTGCTGCTGCTGCTGTTGCTGCTGCTGCTGCTGCTGCTGGTACTGGCTCTTGAGCCTTTGGATTTCCATGAGCTCGAGGCGCTCTTGGTGTCTTTGCAGGGCCTTGGCCATGAGCTCTGCTTTCCTTTCTGCTTCTGCTTTTTTTTGCTGCTGCTGCAGCTGCCGCAGCTCCTGCTGCAGCTGCTGCTGCAGCTGCTGCACCCCGCTCAGCAGCGAGGCCCCCAGCTGCTGCGCAGGCTTTTTGTAGCGGCCAATGAGGCCCCCAATCATAGCAGGGACTGCAGCAAGAGGGTCTTCTTTGAGAAATCTGGGAACTTGTTCTTCATTGCTGCTGCTGCTGCTGCTGCTGCTGCTGCTGCTGCTGCTGCTGCTGCTGCTGCTGCTGCTGCTGCTGCTGCTCTGCTGCTGCTGCTGCTGCTGCTGCTGCTGCTGCTGCTGCTGCTGCTGCTGCTGCTGCTGCTGCTGCTGGGGAGGGCGCTGGCGCGGCTCTTGAGCTCGGCGATCTCTAAGTCGAGGGCCCTGCGGCGGCGCACGTGCTGCAGCAGCAGCTGCTGCTGCTCCTGCAGCTCCTGCTGCAGTGCAGCAGCAGCACGGCGAATGCGGGTGTATGTCTTCCTGAGGTCTTCCTCGCTGAGGGCAAAGAGTGCTGCTGCTGCTGCTGCAGCTTTGCTGCTGCTGGGGGCCCCTCCTTGGGGGCCTGGCCCCGCCTCGCGCTTCAGCTCTTCGCCTGCTGCTGACGGTGCTGCTGCTGCTGCTGCTGCTGCTGACGGTGCTGCTGCTGCTGCTGCTGCGACGGCGGTGGCGCCTGCTGCCTCCACTGCCGCCGCCACAACTGCTGCTGCAGCAGCTGCAGCTGCTGCGCCTTCACGGGGGCCTGCAGCGCCCACAGGGAACACTTCTGGGGGCTGCTGCTGCTGCAGCAGCAGCGGCTGCTGCTGCTGCAGCAGCAGCCCGTCTGCTGCCTCCATGTGCCCGCTGCTGCGAGTCGGCTGCAGCTGCTGCGTCTGCAGGCGCCGAGGCCGCTGCTGCTGCTGCTGCGCGCGGACTCCCGAGCGGCTCTTGAAAAGTTAAATTTATTATTTTGCAAATAATTTGATGTTTTATTATTATTAAAACCAAATTTAATTGATTTGAGAGAGTCAGAGGAAGGCTAGCGTGGCTGCTGGGCGTCTCGCTCGCCGCGTCGGCGCCAGTGGCTGCTGAGCTCTGTGGGAGGCGCCCTCAGCCTCTACTTGACTAACAAATGAAATGAAATGAAAAACAAATTAAATTAAAAAGTTTAAACCGAACAACCGCGAAGCAACTCCAGCTGTACGTACACCTCAGACAATGCTGCTGCTGCTGCAGCGGCGGCGGGCCCGGCGCTGCTGCTGGGAGCCCCGGGGCCCCAGCGAGCACAGGGTGCTTCTAACATTTAAATTACTTTATTTCTTGTTTTATTTTCCAATATTTGGGAATTTTAATTGAAATTGACTTTCAAATTGTCCGTTAAAAGACATTTTTGGCAGCTGGCGGCGACACCATCTGCGCGTCGGCCGTGGACCTGCAGCAGCAGCAGCAGCAGCAGCAGCATCGGCAGCAGCAGCAGCAGCAGACGCCCGAATGAGGCCCGCAGCAGAAACTCCCAGCTCGCCTGCTGCAACACTGCGCCGCCACAGCCCCCAGCTAGCCACGGCTAGCCCCAGCTAGCTACGGCCAGCCACAGCTAGCTACAGCTAGCCACAGCTAGCTACAGCCAGCTACAGCCAGCTACAGCTAGCCAGTTACCATCAGCTAGGCCCAGCTACCCCCAACTAGCAGCAGCTAGCCCCAGCTAGCTAGCTGGGGGTTGTATCAGCTAGCTACGGCTAGCCATGGCTAGCTGCAGTCAGCCATGGCTAGCTGCAGCCAGCCATGGCTAGCAGCAGCCAGTCCCAGCTAGCTGCAGCCAGCTGCAGCTAGCCATGGCTAGCTAGAGCCAGTCTCAGCTAGCTGCAGCCAGGCATGGCTAGCTACCGCTGCAGCTAGCTAGCTGCAGCTAGCTGCAGCTAGCTGCAGCTAGCTGGGGCCAGCAGTGCTAGCTGCCACAGCTAGCTGTGGAAGTGCTGAGGCCGCGAAGGCACTACAAGTGCAGGGCCTAAACAGCTATATGGGAAAACCCCCAAACCCTAAACCCTAAACCCTAAACCCTAAACCCTAAACCCTAAAACCTCAGTCGGTGGCTTCTGACCAAACGACGCTGCAGCTGCCTGCCCGTCGTGCTGCAGCAAGTGCACCTTCCTGCAGCAGCAGCAGCTGCTGCTCTTGATAGCTTAAAGACAGCCAGAAAAGCCGCAGCAGCAGCAGCAGCAGCTGCTGCTGCTGCTGCTGCTGCCGCTGCTGAACAGTTTCCAGCATCTGCTGCAACAGTCGCTATGATGCGGCAGCAGCAGCAGCAAACGAAAGTGGGCCTCAGGAATGCCAGCCTCTGCGGCAGCGGCAGCAACTGCTGCTGCTGCTGCCTCTGCTGCTGCTGCTGCCTCTGCTGCTGCTGCTGCCTCTGCTGCTGCTGCTGCAGGAACATTTACATTAGGCAGCTCGGTGCTGCTCAAGAGACTTTTGAAGAGCAGCAATTCGCCTTCTTGCTGCTGCTGCGAAGATCCTGCAGCCCTTCTGTGCGCAAAGCAGAGGCAGCAGCAGCAGCAGCAGCAAAATGAAAGTATTGCAGGATGCAGCAGCAAAATCGGCAGCAGCAGCAGCAGAAGCACCAGCAGCAGCAATAGCAGCAACTGCTGCAGCTGCAGGATCACACTCCCGCGTGCTGCCGCTCATCCAGGCGGCTCTACAGCCCTGCTTCTGCAGCTGCTGCAGCTGCTGCTGCAGTCGCTGCTGCTGCTGCTGCTGCAGCTGCTGCTGCAGCTGCTGCTGCAGCTGCTGCTGCAGCTGCTGCTGACCTGCTGCAGCTGCTGCTCGTACATCTTGTCAAGACGTTTTGCTGCTTCCAGGCCCAGAGCCAAAAGAGTAGCAGCAGATTTGAGGGCCTCTTGTGCTTCCAAGTCTTCGGGGCGTTTGCGCTGCTGCCGCTGCCGCTGCTGCTGCTGCTGCTGCTGCTTCGAGCCGCTCTGCTGCTGCTTCTGCTGCTGCTGCTGCAGCACGATGTCCTGCGACCCCTGCAGCAAAGGAAGCAGCAGCAGCAGCAAGACAAGTTCAGAAAAGGAAGAGCAAAAAGTAAATATAAAATGAAAGAATGAGAAATCTATAATGCCAAAAAGGCAGCAGCAGCAAAAAGAAAAAATAATTAAAAAAAAGAAAATAAAATCGACACAAAACAGCACAGAAGCAGCAGCAAAAAAGAGACACAAAAGTGAAGCATCAAAGGCAATACGGAAGCCGCAGCAGCAGCAGCAGGAGGAAACAGCAGCAGCACCGCAGCAAGAGACACAGCAGCAGCAAAAGGGGAGCTGCAGCACCAGCAGCAAATCCCAAAGAGCAGCAGCAGCGACAGCAGCAGCAAGGAGAGACAGCAGCAGCGCAGCAAGAGACACAGCAGCAGCAAAAGGGGAGCTGCAGCACCAGCAGCAAATCCCAAAGAGCCCGAGGATTGGCAGCATCCAGCAGCAGCACTCTTGCGAAGTAGCAGCAGCCAAGGAGTGGCTGCTGCAGCGAGCACTGCAGCTGTACGTACACCCCACACCCCACACCCCACACCCCACACTGCAGCCCCCAAACCCCAAACCCTAAACCCTAAACCCTAGACCCCCGCCTCCAACCTAAACCCTAAACCCTAGCAAACAGCCTCTGAAGCGGCAAGCACTTCAGCAGCAAAAGGTGCTGCAACAGCAAAATGAGCAGCAGCAGCAGCAGCAGCACCAAAGAGAACAGCAGCAAGACGCGCTGCAGCAGGAACGCAGCAGAAAGAACAGCAGGAGCAACAGGCGCAGCAGCAGGACCCGCTGCAGCAACAGAGCAGCAGCAGCAGCAGCAGCAGCAGCAGCAGCAGCAGCAGCAACAACAACAACAGCAGCAGCAGCAGCAGCAGCAGCACCTCTCCGTAAGAAAGAAGATAGTAAAGATTGTTTGGCTCCCTCATCAGCAGCTCTTCCCAAACAAAAGCTGCTTGCTGCAGCAGCATGAGGTGTATGTACACCTCAGCTAACTCGTGCCACGCCTCCTTATCCCCCGCGTACTCCCGCAGGTGCCTGCGCACACAATCTGCTGCTGCTGCTGCTGCTGCTGCTGCTGCTGCTGGGAATGAGGCTAGTGCTGCTGCTGCTGCTGGAACTCAGGCTAGTGCTGCTGCTGCTGCTGCTGCTGGAAATGGGGCTAGCGCTGCTGCTGCTGCTAGGAATGAGGCTAGTGCTGCTGCCGCTGCTGCTGCTGGAACTGAGGCTAGTGCTGCTGCTGCTGCTGCTGAAACTAAGGCTAGTGCTGCTGCTGCTGTTGCTGCTGCTGCTGAAACTAAAGCTAGTGCTGCTGCTGCTGTTGCTGCTGCTGCTGCCCCCAAAGCACTGGACCCACGAAATGAGGAAAGAAATGCAGCTCTTGTAGTTCCCCTGCAGCAGCAGCAGCAGCAGCAGCAAGGCCGCACACACATCGCACTCAGCCGCAGCAACCATCCCAACAGCAGCAGCAACAGCAGCAGCAGCAGCAGCAGCAGTACTCCAACCACGCCCAGGCCCAGCACCCGCATCACCCGCATCACCCGCAGCAGCAGCAGCAGCAGCAGCAGCAGCAGCAGCAGCAGCAGCAGCAAACCTGGATTCTGTAGGTGGCCACGACTCTTCTTCTGGCCCCCACATCTCCGTGGTGCTGCTGCAGATAATCTGCCAGCAGCCGAATTGCCTGCTGGTGCTTTCCTGCTGCTTCCTGCTGCAGCATCAGCAGCCCCCGCAGCCGTTTGCTGCTGCTGCCCCAGCGGGCAACCAGCGCGTTGTAGCACCGCTGCAGCAGCAACACAGCAGCAGCAGCAGCAGCAGCAGCAAGTGCAGGCGCAGGTGCTGCTGCTTTGGCCGCTGCTGATGCATCTGGTTGAACTCTTGCTGCTGCTGCTGCTGCAGCAGCAATTGCTGCAGCAGCAGCAGCAGTTGCTGCAGCAGCAGCAGCAGTTGCTGCAGCAGGACTGCGGCCTCAGGTACCTCATAAACAGCTGGCTCGTTAAGGGTCAAGGCCGCGAGGTAGACAGTCTCGTAAACAGCATATACTGCAGCAAACGCAGCAGCAGCAGCAGCAACAGCAGCAGCAGCAGCAGCAAAAGCTCCAGCCAGGGAGACAGAACCGCGGCGGCGAGAACCCCCGTGGACAGCAGCACCGGCAGCAGCAGCTTCAGGGGCAGCGTCGCAGCAGCAGCTGCAGCAGCAGCAGCAGCAGCAGCAGCAGCAGCAGCAGCAGCAAGTGCCTCACCTTCATCTTTGAGAGCAGCAGCAAATCTGTCCAGCAGCTCCTTCCCGTAAGAAAGACACAGCGCGGGGGCCCCCCGTGTCTGCGCCTGCAGCAAACCGGCCTTGAGGCCCTGCAGCCCCACGCGCTGCAGCAGCAGCTTGGGGGGCCCCCTGGGGGCCCCTCCCTCGGCCATTTCGTGCTGCAGCTGTTGCGGGTCCCGAGGCGAGCCACGCAGCTGCTGCTGCTGCTGCTGCTGCTGCTGCTGCTGCGGGTAGTGCTGGTGCTGGTATGCGTTTGCTGCGGCGAAGGGCACGCGCGAGAGAAGGAGGACAGTGATTTGCTCAGCTAAGCAGCAGCAGCAGCAGCAGCAGCAACAGCAGCAGCAGCAGCAGCAGTGATCGGGATAAGGGGGGCGTTTCGTACCTGGGCTGCAGGCGCAGCAGATCTGCAGTCGATTTAGCTGAGGCAGCAGCAGCAACAAAAAGCAAATTGCATTTATTATTTAGAGTTTTGGTGGACAACTCGAACCATAGTGGCTTTAAAGACATAACAGTAGCAGCAGCCGCCTGGGGCTGCTGCTGCTGCTGCTGCTGCTGCCCTTGCCCAGCCAGGTTTTTGCCACACCAGCTGCAGCAGCAGCAGCTGCAGCAGCAGCAGCAAATTCATTGAATAAATAATGGCTTGCTGTGGGTCATTTCAAAGACTAGGGGCTCGTTTGGGGTGTATCGACACCTCGGTGTGACTGCTCAGCCTTGAAGCCTCGGAGGGCCTCAACAGAAGACACATGCAGCAGCAGCAGCAGCAGCAGCAACTGCAGCAGCAGCAGCAGTGGCAACACGCCGACTGAAGCCGCGGTGTACGCTGCAGCGCAGTGGAAGGATCCCAGGCAGCAGCAGCAACAGCAACAGCAGCAGCAACAGGCGCAGCAGAAGGCCATCTGCGAGCACACCACTGCAGCAGCAGCAGCAGCAGCAGAAACAAAAGCAAACTAAACTTATTCAAAGTGCACACCGCTTTGAAACTGCGCACACGACTCGCTCCAGCAGCAGAGCAGCAGCAGCAACAGAGCAGCAGCAGCAGCAACAACAGACGCAGCAGCAGCAGCAGCAGATCCGACGAAAGCAGCAGCAGCTGTAGTGTCAGAGTAATGGTGCCCTCACAGGGTGGGGCTGTGCGCCGGCGCGGCAGCCAAGAGCAGCAGCAGCAGCAACAACAGCAGCAGCAGCAGCAACAGCAGGAACAGCAGCAGCAGCAGCAGCAGGAACAGCAGCAGCAGCAGGAGCCGAAGCGCCGCACGCTGAAGGAGATTATCTTCCACGAGGCCAACAGGGAAGTGCTGCAGCAATTCGTGCTGTGGTCGCTGCTGCTGCTGCTGCTGCCGCTGGGGACCCTTTGGGGTTTGTACCGTTTGCTGCAGCAGCAGCGCCCAGCAGCAGCAGCAGCAGATAACATGTTCGTGGCTGGTGCTGCTTCCTGCGGCGTGCTGCTGCTGCTGACAGCTGCTTATGCTGCACTTGCTGTGAAGCAGGAGTACGCTGCTGCTCGGGGTGCTGCTGCAGCAGCAGCAGCGGACAAAGCTCCTGCTGCTGCTGCTGCTGCTGCCGCTGCTGCTGCGCCGCAGCGAAACCAACAGCAGCAGCAGCCGGCCTCCAGCCGCAGGAAGGCGGACTGACTCCCGGCTCCGCCAGCTGCAGCAGCAGCAGCGCGGTCCGCTGCTGCTGCTGCTGCTGCTGCTGCTGCTGCTGCTGCCTAACACGGCAGCAGCGCCAGATAGTTGCATGCAAATAAACTGAAACTACTTTTAAGAAACTTTTAGGTTAGGCCTGGCTGAGGTGTACGTACACCCCAGAAGCCAATAAACCTGATACACTTCAGTGTCTCCGCTGCGCTGTTGCCCCGTTAGCAGCAGCAGCAGCAGCAGCAGCAACAGCAGCTGCAGCAGCAGCGAAAGCTGTCTTCAGTAGTCTTGACAGGACCGCTCCTCGCTAGCCTGCTGCTTCTGGTGGTGCTGCTGCTGCTGTTGCTGCAGCAGCAGCAGCAGCGCGCAGCAAAAGTGCCGTAGGACACTGCGCAGCAGCTGCTGCCCCTCAACTGAAGCAGCCGGAGCAGCAGCAAGGACAAGCCGGGTGCAAGCAGCAGCAACTGCTGCGCTGAGCACCTGGTGCTGCTGG